CGCCCCATACCACCCCGCCCCACCCCGCCACGCCACGCCCAGTTGCGACCCACCCGTATGCTTTACACACGCGCGCCAAAACTTCAGGGGAGTTACTACGGTCCGATATACACCGGGTCCGATGAGCCAGGCAAACACTGCTGCGGACGACGTCCCCGGCGAGCAGCGCTCCCTGGATATTTACACCAGGAACGGCCAAAACTGTCGGTGCAAACCAACAAAAAATAACATCTCCAGTAAACGCCATATTGGAAAGTTAAAATGAAGATCTAAACATATTTCAAATTTTTTGTTTTGTTTTAAAACATAAAACTGTTCTTTGATTTACCAAAAAATCGAGAAAAGAAATATTTCGCAGTGTAAGCAGCAGTTATTTCAGAACAGGACTGGACAGTTTGCAAAACGAAAGAGCAAAAGCGACGCGTTTCGCAGCCGCTCTGGTTGGCGACTGAGCTGCCGGCGCGAGCAGCGCACGCGCAATTTTGAATTATTCCAAATTACCGTCCGGGTAACGCGATTACCGCCGTGACGTAATGTTATTGAGGCGTTACATGGCGGTATGGACGGCGCTAATTCCATCACCGCAATGTGATCCCCCGGCTGGAGCCTCCAGCAAGCAGCAGCAGCAGTCCTGGAGGCTCGTTACCGAACTCGTTCCGGTTTGGTGCCGTAACCTCCAGAGAGCAAAGGCCCGTGCCCATGTGCCCGCCGGGGGGGAAAAGCAGGGGGTGAAAGGTCAACAAACTGAAGCCTATCCACAGGAACGCCAGGAAGACAACACCACGATGGTGCCTCCAGCAACCAAGGAAGTCAATACGAATACGTGACGGAACCTCCAGCAAGGTGGACAATAGACATGGAGCCTCCGGCCATAAGCTTTCACTGTGAAAGATAATACGAAGGTTTCCAGGAAAGTTTTCCTTGTAAACTTACAATTTGAAATTGTACAAATCGACGCGTGCTAACAACAATATTCTATCTACGGAGCGTCGTTTTCAAAATATCCTATCTACAAAGCGTCGTTTTCACAATGTCCTATCTGCTTAAGAAAATCATAGCAGATAGGACATTGTGAAAACGACGCTTTGTAGATAGGATATTTTGAAAACGACGCTCCGTAGATAGAATATTGTTGTTAGGACGCGTCGAAATACATGCAGTACGTATCGACTTAAAATCCATTGGCGAGTAAAAAATGGGCTCTTTAAAGTTTCAAATTTGAGTAATAAATCGAGTTTAAAAATTTTTGTAAATTTATTACGACGATGTTTTTCACATGGCTCAAGCAGCAATTTGTTTTTGGAGGCTGGAGAAGCGATAGGCAAATCAAAAGGCGGCCATTGCATGGTATTCTCCAGAAATACAGCAAAGTAAGTCAAAGACCTCCGCTTTTGGACTGGAGATCGCACAGCAGCACAGTTTACTTCTGGAGTCTCCGCGGCGCAGACCCCCCCTTCTCGACAATATGCTCCCAGGCCCGGGCGGACAGAGACAGACGGGCCCGGGCCGCCGCCGGCTGAAGAAGGCGTCTCTATCCAGCACATCTTTCACTGTCTCAACATTATCGCCATTTTGTTTGTTGAGAATCAGCCGGGCATGTAAGTAGGAGATGGGGAGGGAGAGAGCCTGGGATTCTGCCAAACGTGCCTCGCGCCACGACCCGCCTCACCTAACTCGTCCCCCCGCCACCCCCGCACCGCTCCAGTTTCGCGTCCAGCTTATCCACACTCCGCGAGGCGCTTATCCAGGCGGATCTGGATGCCGGCACTGCGGAGTCTCGAGGGCGCGCTGCCGCTGGCGTCGGGGGCGTTAGCGTCTGTAAGTCAAGCACCGCGCAGCCGCGGGGTCCACGTCCCCCCGCGTAAGGGACTTAGCGACAACACCATCTTACGAATTTGACAGCGAGGGAGGGGGGGGGGAGGGGGGATGTATGAAGTGCGTCGCGGCTGCTGCCACCCCCACGACGCTCACCTGAGGGAAGGGAAGAGGATGAGCGATTTCGGCGCCACGCGGGGAGACAGTCACAGCGAAATCGTCGTTGCACGCGAGTCGAATCGGTCCGACTTGTAAAATAAAATAACCGTTCCCAGACGATGGCTTCGCCGATGGCGATTAGCTCCTATCACGAGCCATTAATGCAATATCGGTATCGGGATAGACGTGGGACGGCAGTGGGCGTCGCCGAGCGCGCGCGTGAAAGAGAGAGAGCGAGAGAGAGAGGGGGGGATGGCGCTATAGGAGGGCGTGGGTGGCCCCGAGGGACGTCGTAAGGACGGGGTGGAGGGGAGGGACACCACCAGAGCGAGGGAGGGACGGGAAGCATTCGGACGTCATCTCGGCAAAGTAGTCTCAGCTGCGAGACAAGTCAGGCGGGCGCCCGTCCGCGTCACATGGCGCTAGAGGCACGTCCGACGGGCACATCCGTCACGAGCAAAACCTTTTGGTGGGGGGAAAAAAGAGAGAGAGAGGGGGAGAGAGAGGGGGGGGGGACGCACGAGATGCGCGCCGAGAGAGGGGTGGACTGCAGCGCAAGAGTTTAGAAACACTCGGTTTAACCGAATCTCGTGGAAACCAGCTCTGACTTTCGTATGCAAAAAACATAAAAGGGTGGATTACACTTCCAAGATTTATGTACGCCGGAAAGCAATTTTAAGGTTTCAGAAGAGCATTTTGAAATTATGGGAGAAATTTTCAAGAGTTAATTTTAAAATATCTTATTTTTTTCATCAGGAGTTTCGAAGTTTTATTTTCTTTTAATTTTCTGGAAATACTTTCCATTTTCTTTCTGGTTCAGTTTTTAACTTTTCCGGAAAATATTTCGGACTTGAAAATGGCTGACGCCGATGGAAACACATCTTTTTCCATAGCTCTAAACCCAAATAAAAAATACATAAATTTGCCGACGGGCTTACCTTCTTGCGGCACGTAGATGTTCATGTAGAGGCAGTCCTCGCTCTGGTTTGCCAGGAGCGGCAGCAGCTTCTCGAGGTAGACGAGGCGGCCGCGCGGGAACTCGAGCAGCGCCTCGGTGCGGTTGCCGATGCTGGGCGCGCGCTGCGGGCAGACCGGGGAGAAGGTGTCGCAGAGCCGCGGGGTCTTCCACATGGACGGCGTGACGGGCGGCATGTAGCGCAGCGAGCCGAGGGGCGCGGTGGCGTACGGCACGCCGAGGAACGCCTCGACGGGCTGCTGCTGCAGGATCACGCCGCGGAGCAGGCCGTACTTGGTGCGGGCGAGGCGCGTCGAGATCTTGCGCGTGGGAAGCCCGGAACTGGTCGAGGAGCCGCCGGAGAAGGCCGAGAGGAGCAGCAGGACGACCGCCCCCGCCAGGACGCCAGGACATTGGACGGGGGGCAGCCGGTACCGCATGGCGGCCCCACTCAGCAGCAGAGCCGGACGGGGGGGACCGTCGGCGGCATGCTCCGGCCGTCGCGATCCTGAGGCAGCAGGCGGCCCCGGAGCAGGCGGCCCTCCTGGCGCAACGCCTCATCGGCCCGCATAATGGCAGCGGCGGCGGCCGCGAGCACGGCGACGGCGACGCCCCCGCTCGGCGCGGCGAGGGCGGGGGACGCATTGACGGTCACGGCATCGAGCCCGGCATCAGCCCTGCAAACAGACGGAGCGAGTCACGTTACTGACTGCTGTACACCTGGTTCTTTACACACGATCACAAAAAAAACGCTTTTGGAAAATCCAAGCCGTTCAATAAGAGATGCATGTCGCTTGGAAATCTGTCGCCCTCGATTTTACAGTGCAGCATGTTATCAAATGACATGGAAATAACAAATATTTCCTGTCAACATGTAAAACAGAAAAGCCAAAATAATTTACCGACCATATATTGGCATTGTATTTGTTGGGACCACATAAATTCTCATAAGAAAATAATCTTACAAAATGAATGCAAATTCTTATTTCGTGTGGGAAAAAACTTACACTACACGCAGCTCCTTCCCGCCGCTTGACACGTTTCACACGCATGTGTGGGCGTCACACAAGGGCGGCGCGGGGAGCAGACATACGCGGTGTGTGTGTGTGTTGCGCTATGGCCGCACTCAAAAGACCTCCTCAAAAGCTCTTCTTCCGGTTGTGTTTGGTGCCTGCTTGCCCCAACTGCTGCTGCTGCTCTCCGCGCACCACCCGCCGCATTCTGCAACACACAACTCTCCCCCTCTCCACTCTACACGCGCGGGGGAGAATGCGGGCGCGGTGGTGCGACGAAAGAGGCAACCTTGTTGTATAGTGAGAGCAGTGTGAGGGAGTGAGAGAGAGAGTGTGTGTCGTTTGCAGGATGCGACGGCGGGTAAGGTTGGCGCGTCGCAGGCGGCAGGTCAGCAAAGAGCCGCGCAGCCAGCACATTGCTATTCACATGCAGCCAACCTCATAAGCAGGAGAGCGGCAGATAATCTCAACCCCTACTGCCTAGCTCCCCACCTCTATCGCCTCTATCCCCCCCCCCCCTCTCTCTCTCTCTCTCTCTCTCTGTGTGTGTGTCGACCTTAACTTCCTCCGCTCCTCTTTCTTTCTCCCATGTGGTGGTATCATATATGCCATTCACCGCGAGGTCCGTATACGATAACGCGCTTTGGTGTGTGTGTGTGTGTGTGTGTGGTGCGTATCGTGTGTGGTGTATGAGCCTTCCCCTTCCCCTCGGCCGACGCCGGTACTCCATGCGTGGAGAATGAACAGCCATAAAAAGCGACGTATGTTCCGAATGAGGCATGGCTTGGTGTCCGGGGAATGGGTTTGGGGGCACGGCAGCCAGCACCATACCACGCGGTGCGCCCCGGCGTGGCGGGGCGTGGCGGGGCGTGGCGGGGCGTGGCGTGGCGGGGCGTGGCGTGGCGTGGCGGGGCGCGGTGTTCAGTGACGCCCCAGGGTCCCTCCCCTAGGGGTGGAGAGTACGCGACGGTCCAGCGTGTCCGCGGCGCATCTCGTTGTTTTAGCTGCCCGTCGTACAAATCGATACAATCATGGCGAGCGCGGCGGGGGGAGAGGCCTGACGGGGCCTAGGATGTGGCGGCCGAGCGCGGGGCACTTGTCCGCCTTCCCCTGGGTGGAAATATACGGTAACGGCTGCCCCTGCTGCGCCACTGTGGCCGACGGGCGTGGCATGGCGGGGTGTGGCAGGGCGTGGCGGGGCGTGGCGGGGCGTGGCAGGGCGTGGCGGGGCGTGGCGGGGCGTGGTAAGGCACGCACACATAGGTCTGCGGCCGGCCGGCCCGTCGAGCGTGTCCCGCAAAGGATTTTCTCGCTCTTGGCGGCACCGGTCGGGGGGAAAAAGAATAAAGATAGAAATAAATCTGGGGTTGGCTCGGGGTCGGGCGCAGCCGCCGGGCCGGGCTCGCGGGAGCGTGCAGATAGAGTGGCTTGGCTTATGCTTGGTGCCAAAGGGGCGTTGAACTCCAATATTTAAAAGAATCTGCAGGTATTCAAATTATTACAGTTTGTGAAATTTTACACGAGTTTTAATGCGTATGCATGTAGGAATATATTTAGCAAGAATTTCGTCTATTTTTTAAGAGCAAATGTTAGGTGTTGACAAAAAATGTATAGTCGACACTGTAAATTGCTTACGAACTATAGGTTCGTATTGCAAACCAAAGCGTTCGTAGCTTACAATGGATTTTGAAGCGTTGTATTCCGAACTAATTATTCGTAAGCTTACGAACAAATAGTTCGTAATGCAAACCGATTGTTCGTAAGACCCTGTCTAGCCTTACAAACAATCGCTTTGCACTACGAACAATTTCTTTGCAATACAAAGGACTAAAATTGTTCGTAACGTTGCAAAGTATTTAGTTCGTAAGCTTTTTACAGTGCATGTGTAGCATATGGCACCCTTGCGAACAGCATAACAATAATAAAGGAATTTCTCTCCGGTAGCGCGGTTGCGTATGGAGGATTTGGCGCCGCCAAGGTCTTGCTCGCGGTATATAGCGGAGCGAGGATGCGCTGAGGGATGGCACACGCGGGCGGGGCGGAGCGGGACGGGGCGCTGCGGGGTGGGGCGGGGCGGGGTTGAAAATAAAACATGACCGTCGGCCGCGCCGCCGGTCGACCTGTAAAACTTTCACGCGTCCATGATACAAAGCAGTGCGCGGCGGCGGCGGCGCGCGGTGTGTGCGGCGCGCCTACCGAATCAACAATTTAGTGCGGGTGAGCGAGCGCAACAGTGCACTCCAGGCGCCCACAAGCTAGGCACACCATGGAAAGTTTCTTGAAAATTTACGGGAAAAAAAAAACTGAAAACTTGGGAAAAAACCGAAAATTTCCCAGATTCTGGAAATTCCTAGGAGAAATTCACACGTTTACGCCTCAAAGTTTACGAATAGATATTCACACCAGTGCATCCAAAAGGGCAGGCTGTTGCGGGCTACTTCCTCCTCCTCCCATGTTAAAGCATAGGCGCCAAAAAAAGAAGCCCGCAACAGCCTGCCCTTTTGGATGCACTGATTCACACACACCCAAGTGAGCGATATTCACACACTTGCGTTTACAGAGTACTTTGCCTCTCACCAAACGATGAGCAAACTACAAGCACACTATGACTGTTCTTTGACAGTGTATGCACGCTACGGCCCCGGCAGATGGCAGGTGCGAGAGGAGGGGGGGGGGAGCGATGTGTAGCAGAGGGGAGACTGCTCGACGTTCGCGCGCGACTTGCGTCGTGCGTGCTCCAGATAACACAATGGGTGGCAATGAGGGGGTAGGGGTGGGGGGTGCAAGGTGAATGGGGTGCTGAGGAAGGCA